TTATTACTTATAATCACGTGATTTCTTGGTCCCTTTTTTTATAAAAAATAAAAAAATAGAACAGAAATTCATATCTAAATAAATAAAATCCACCATTTAATTAAATACTATTATTATGCAAGTTTTAAAAATATAAATTTATTTCTATTTTTTTTGATAAATTATCTAAAATTTTATTTTTTTTATCTCTTTATTTATAAACTTTATTCATTTTTTTATGTACAAAAATTCATGTGACCTAAAAAAACATTAAAATAAAATGAAAATGGATTACACATGTTAAGAAAAAGGTGGTGACTCACAAGATTCCATATCTACATACATAATTTTACCTAATTTTGAAACCTTTATTTTCAGATAAATTATTCCAATTTTATTATAACACATACTTTTATCTGATTCTGAAAACTTCATTTACGTACTTATACATAAATTCAGATAAATTATTCTAAGTTTATTATAACACATACTTTTTATTTGATTCTGAAAGCTTCATTTGCTTTCAACATTTTCTACCATTTGATTCTACACAGTGACGGACCTGTAATCTTGCAGCTGCTCATTCGATTATCATAAGAGAAAAAATGTATGATTTTGGAAGTGTCTCCATTTAATATTTGTAAACCAAATTATAATATTAACACTAAAATTAAAAATTGTTAACAAATAACCCTTTGTTACCACCGTGTGGAGGGACCTTAATATAATTTAGCAGAAGTTTGGGGACCAAGGTGACAAATGATTTGATGGGTTCTGACTGGCTGACCAACGTGGGACCCAGCCTTACCGGTCGGTGCACAATACATAAGGGTCCCATCAAAAACCCGAAAATTTTATTTTTTTAAAAAAATTTCTCCTTTCCGATACAACACTATTTATTTTCCTCATTCCCAATACAACACTATTTATTTTTCTCATTTCCAATATAACACTATTTGTTTTCCTCTTTCCTAATATAACATTATTCAATTTTGTCTTTTTCCTTCTCAACTCCAGTAGATAAATGATTCAAATTTCATATTACCAATACAAAAACCAACACTTCAATCTCTATTACCTTAATACAATCTTCATTACCCTCATACAATCTTCATTACCGACATTTAATCATCTACATCATGGTAAGTTTATGGTAAATTTGGGGTAATAAACAATAATGCACCAAATTTGATGTAACACTATTCATTTATACTAACAGATTAAAATAGAAATATACACGTCTATAATGTTATATTTTGGTAAAAGAGTATTTTTATGTATAAATAGCGGTGCAAAAGTGGATTTCAATACCAATTTTTATGATGTAATATTTTATGGACCTTTTACTTTAGTATTTGATGAAATTAAATTCATGGTCCCTTTCTGCCTTTTTCAAGTTGTATGGATTGAAATTGAATCCATATCCAAGGATCTCGACTTTCATCCAACAAATCACCACCAATCCAATTTTAAATTGTTTCACTTCATATATATTAGGCATACAATATTAATGGATGTTTCAAATGTAACTCATTATATTTGTATAACTAATACAACCCAATCAATTGAGATATTTATGTAAATGATGAGAGTTCATTTATTATGATTTGAATATTTATGAAAGATGAATAAGGTTCATTAATTATGATCAAATACTTTATATTAAAAAATAATCAAAACTTTTATAAAATTACATATTCATCAAATTAAATGAATGGTTGAGATTGAGTTGTATTGGTTGTACAAATGTAAATGGTTTTGTAATAACCCTCTCTCTCTCTCTCTCTCTCTCTCTCTCTCTCTCTCTATATATATATATATATATATATATATAGGGGTCTATTCAAGGGAGAACTGAGTTGTTTGTGGTAACTGTGAGAACCAATATTAACCACAAATCAATAGATAAATTAGGAAATTTATAAATTTGGTAATTTTAAATTAAAATCTTAATGCAAGGATTTTTTTGGTATTTTAAAATTCTCCTCTCTCCTCTCTTCTCTCTCCGGCCACCGTTCTCCGGCCTCCGGCCACCGTCCTCCGGTGATACCACTATGATACCACTGTGATACCACTATGATACCACTGTGATACCACTGTGATACCTAAAAATATTGACTCTGTTAAACAAAAGATACATTGTGATACCTAATCATATATAAGATGCATAGTGATACCATTGTGTTACATCTTCGATCGACCACACAAACGACATCAATGTGATACCCAAGCACATATATGATGCATTGTGATACCATTGTAGTATCACCGGAGGAGGGTGGCCGGAGAGAGAAGAGAGGAGGGATGAAAGTTTTAAAATACCAAAAATATCCTTGCATTAATATTTTAATTCAAAATTGCCAAAATTATAAATTTCCTAATTTATCTATTGATTTGTGGTTAATATTGGTTCTCACAGTTACCACAAACTAATTAGTTCTCATTTGATTAGGCCCCTATATATATATATATATATATATATATATATATATATATATATATATATATAGGGTTAGATTCACGTGAGACCAAGAGTTTTTTGTGAGACCCGTAAGACCAATTTATGTTCATTGATTAACTTTATAAGCTAATGATCTAAAGTTGTACGGTGACAATTTTATGATTATTGAGAAGTCTCATGGCAATTTTGTGATTATAAATGTTCAAATTGTAAATCTAATCCAAGGGTTGAAAATTGATCTTATGAGTCTCACAAAAAACTTTTGGTCTCACATGATCCCAAGTCTATACAATACATATATATAGGTATGTATATTCGGGTGGAGGTTCAAACGAGAACCTTTATGATTTACGAAAACGCGAGAACAATCTAATAATCTCAAACTTTTTTAATTAATAAATTAATTTATATTAAATATAAATAAATTAATAAGTGCAGTAATGTAATTAAGTAATTTTTATTTTATTTTATTTTATTTTAATTAATCATAATTATCTCTTTTTTTCTTGCACGTTCGTTTTCATTCTTTTCTCTCCTCTTGTGATAATTGTGTGATTGTGTAACCATAACTTGTCGAAACTATGATCAATCAAGTGTAACCACAATCTATCGAAACCATGAGTAATCGTTGTGATAAATGTGTTATTGTCTAACCCTAACCGATCAAAACCATAATCAAATTGAGTGCGCAAGTGATGTTATAATAGTGATATCACATGATTATCACACCCATATCACATCAAATCGTTTAGTGGATTTCGCCCGTAATCGTTGTGATAAATGTGTGATCGTCTAATCCTAACCTATCGAAACCATGATTAATCATTGTGATAAACGTGTGATTGTCTAACCCTAACCGATCGAAACCATGATCAAATCGAGTGCGCTATTATGATAGTGATATCACATTATTATCACACCCATATCACAACAAATCGGTAGTCGATTTTCTAAGTTAGCCCTAGCCGAGCGGAATCCTTGTGATAATTGTGTGATAATCACATGATTATCACAACCATATCACACCCAAATCACACCAAATCGTGTTGATATAAACGATAATATGATAATTGTGTGATAATCACATGATTAACCGTTTATTAGATAATCATAATCGTGTAATCGTGTCAAAAGATTTTATGATATCAATTCCATTATTACCCTTTTAATTTTATTACTTTTTGAATCTTTTTAAATTTCAATTTTAATTTTAAAAATCTTTTAATTTTATTTTTTATAACAATATAGGGTTATTGGGTTGTTTTCGCATTCTCGTAAATTACAGGGGTGCTCGTTTGAACCATTCCCTGTATATTCGTATTTACTTTATAAACATAATTTTTTATACCACTATCCCAGAGCGATAACTGTGGCTTCAAATCAAGGTCTTGGTCGCGATTTTCACAATGTTACCCATTGGAGATGCCATTTAGACATCCATCCATCCATCAGACCTTTTTTTCTATAAAAATATACCAAATTAGTTTATAAATACACAAAATATTTAAATATATAACTTTAAATGAGATTTTAATTAAATCCATAGACTTCTAACAAATATAAAGCCATTTTTTCTTTAATAGAAATCATAAATTTAATTTAATTTAATTTAATTTAATTTAATTAAAAACTGAATTAAGGTCAAATCCCTAAATGGCTATACACATGCCTAATAAAAGAGTTCTCGAGTCGATCGGATTTTGAAAATTTAAATCCTACCACCCACCACGAAAACGTGTGCTCTTCTCCAAACACATTTTAACCAGCCGTTTTAGAAAATAATCTTTAAATAAGATATTTTAATTAAATTCATGATCGTCTCTCAAGCATAGCATAGAGCCATTTTTCCTTAAGGAGGTAACATACATAAAAAGAAGGAAATTTTAATTAAATTTATGATATTCTGACCTCCCAAGAGAAAATGGCTTCATACTCGATGATAGTCATGAATTTAAGTAAAATCTCATTTAAAGTTGTATAATTTATGATTGTCATCCGTCCTGTTATGTACGGTTTGGTTTGGTTCGGTATACAAAGCTAAAACCGAACCAAACCGGATCACCATATCATTCAAGATTTTTACATAAATAAACACATATAAACAGTTTCTACAGGACATGAAAAGAATTTGAGTTCAGAGTAAAGATTTGAACCAAACCGTGGATTGCATAACATTTTATTCTTCTGTCATAAACACCATAAAAAGAATGCAAATGAGGCAGAAATGCTTCTACTGAAGAGAAAAAAAATTAAGAGTAACGCAATACAAGTGTTGCTAGAAATCTGCCAAAGTAAATGGGGACCCAACACGAAACTCAAATTGGTCTTCATTTATCGGAATAAAACTACGTACGTACCGGATATATTGCGTGGTTTCTTCTTCATCTTCTTAGTCTGCTGTGGATTGACCGGCACGGGAAGACAAGATGATACCCACGATGAGACCGTATAGGGCTAGAGCTTCAGCGAAGATGAGAATAAGAATCATTCCCACGAAAAGTTTTGGTTGTTGTGCGTTTGCTCTGTTTAACAAATACGAGAAAGTTTCAGTATATAATGTCTGTGGATAACCAACCAAGAACACGGGGGACCGAATAGAGATACGTTCAATGCAGCAGCATAGTTGACAAACAAGAGCGTGACAAATTGTGATTAATCAACAAAAGTCAAACATCAAAACCCGAAAAACACAAATCATCAAATGTAGAAACGCACAGTATATATGGACTATTCAACAAAAATCAATCAACTATCAATCTATATGACGTAAATGAATATCAAAATCATGATTTTCGTGAAAAGCAAAAACACAAGGCGGGAGGACACCAAGAAGTCCACTAAATCGATAACCAAAACTCCATAATCATCATATAGCATGCATAACCACTTATCATCAAATGCAACGTATAAAACTAACCTCCTGCACCATGAATGCCCTTAAGCTCCAACCACGTTTTTGCTCAAACTTGGCACATGGAAGTAGAGATGCACCAAAAAGGCCAATCCCCAGATTTGAAAAGTGACATCCCTACTCATAACAAGTCCTCGGACACTGTAACTTGTATCCTTTACGCCAGATTTGAAACAAAAAATACACACTTCAATGCCCTTTGTTCTAGCTTGTAATTATCTACTTTAGCATATGCAGGACAACCAAATATCTCAAGCATTAAGTAGTCCATAGACGTACATTACCACACCACAGTAGGTGTTTTCTTGTTAACATCATAGGAGGGTGAACGGTAATGATGAAACATGCGGTTAAAGCAACATCCGCCAAATATGACTTTGGAATCTTGGAATTGAAGAGCCTACATCTGACCCTATCGATAATGGTGTGTTCCATACGTTCAACTACACCATTTTGTTGACGAGTGCATACTACCATGTGGTGTTTAGCGGTACCTTGGGACTTGCAAAAGGTATTGAACTTCTACGAGCAAAACTCCAATCCATTGTCAGTTTGGATATTTTATTTGCCTTCTCGTTTGTTTCTCAACAATAACTTTCCAATCCTTCAATGTTTCCAATACATCACCTTTATGTTTGATATTGAATACCACAAGATATGCACACATATAACAAACTAGATCATACTAGTACTTAATGTGTGCATTTTAATAACTAAAAGTCAAACATGTACATAGCACATAACAACCACAAGGCTTCCTACCTAGAATCTTGAACTTTTTTCATAGTAAATTTAGGGCCAAAACTTCTAAACTTATAGCAATGTTGCACTAATGACTTGCACATCATGCTAGAAAATATGTATAGTGCTCTAGGTTAGGTAACTTTGGCTTTGGAAAATAAATAAATAAAAAATTACCCCTTTAGTAAATAAGAGAAGAAAGAATTTTTTTTTAAACTGCACCCTAAAGAAAAGAGTTACAGGGGTGACCGCCATTGATTTAACCCAAATCAAGCCCAGGAGACACCATGTAACTTGGTCGCTGGGACAATAACTAGGGAACACCAACCTCATCACTTGCAGGTATAACCCAATCCATACTGTTCACAGATAAGTTCCCTTTTTTTCATTTTTACTGGCAAAAGCCTGGTTTACTTTGTATTTACTGTTTCTTTGATTTTCTGAAACTACAACCCTCTTGCTTCTTCATCTATCCATTAAGCCCTTGTACTGCCACATGATCCCTATTCATTAGACGCAGCAAGTCAAACACACTCATACAAAGCAGCATTGTTAAAGCAGCATTGTTAAAGCATCAGTGACCTCAGGAATTAGGTTCAAAGAAGATGCACATCCCATATTTTATTAACTAAGCACAACAAGCATGCTTTATATGAGATATTCATCTAAATTTACTTTCAACAGAACAAAGATGGAACTTTCTTCAATAGACAAAGTCATAATGTTTAGCAATTCAATCTCTAAAATTATCATGAATATGTTTTTATAGCACAAGTATCGAACAATAGCGAGTTGAAAACAATACCTAACACCAGCATCACCAACTATGCCGATGGCCATTCCGGCAGAAAGACCAGCAAGACCACAAGCCAAACCAGAAGAAAGGTGTGCATAGCCATCAAAAAGATAATAAGACTTGGCCTTCGGGTTAATCCCGGTACTGATAATGACAGCAATAATCAAACCATAAATACCAAGCACACCAGCCATGACAACAGGAACAATGGACTTCATCACCAGCTCAGGCCTCATCACTCCCATCGATGCCACACCCACACCACTCTTCGCCGTTCCATACGCAGCCCCCATGCCTGTACAAAGAATCCAATCAAAAACAGAAATCTTTACAGATAGATAATTATTACATCGGCAAACAAGCGATTAAATCAACACAACGTCCAAAAACAAACAATAAGCTCTAGGTTACAATCCGAATAACGGATATCCTGGAACAAACTATCATCAGGTGAGTCAATTCGCAGTTTAACAGAACAAAAACACTGGAGTTAAGATCTAGATTTGTAATCTAACAAAGAAGAAAAGTTAGGGTTAAGGATTGAGTGAGCGTACAGGAGAAGACAAGGGCGGCAGCGGCGCCGAGGAATCCAAAGAACGGTGCAGTTTCATCACCACTGAATGTCGAACCTGAACTCATTGTTGATGAAAATTGGAAGCGAAATCGATTGGATTTGGATCGGAGAGGTAAGAGTCTGGATCTCTAGTCTGGATGCTTCGATAATTTCATGTGTTGGTTCCTCTCACCTTCCAACACTTGTCGTCTTCACACCATGATCACGTCGATTACATCTATGAGATTTTTTGGAACTAATTATTAGTAAACTACAACTTCGGTCCCTGTGGTTTGTCGATACATGCACTTAAATTTCCCTTTAGTTTTAAAATTATAAAATGGTTATCATAATTTGTAAAAACGTTTAAATTTGGTCCCTTCCTCTAACTTCCGTTAAAAACCTCATTTAATTAATGGATATTTTATGTCATTTTATCCCTTTTTTTTTTATATATTTTACCCAATCAAAATCGATCTTATGGTTTATGTTCTTGTTGTTTTAATTGAATAAAAGACAAAAAAATGTAAAAATGTTTCCCGTTAATTTTTTTAACAATCGTTAGAAAGGGGATTAAATCTAAACGTCTTTTCATGTATGACTCTGATTAAAAATAAGTGCGGTTTAAAGAAAAGTTTTTAAACCTAAAGTTAGAAAAGTTTAAAGAATTATCTGATCATATCTTAAAACTTCCTCATTTATAACATTTTCCAGGTTTTATCCCTTTCCTCTTACTGGATGTTTATTGTTTTTATGGATAATTCTGGTTTCTGTGTCAGCTTACGTGCATCGATTAATTCCCTAGCGACCACGAATGACTTAGAGTCATCGCAATTGAACCTCCATGGCCCCAAGGGCTTTAGCATTGCTTGGATTTGAACCCAGGCTAGATGAGATTTTCCGTTACATTACCTGAAACTTGACCAGTACGTCAGGACCCAAGTGATTATTTCTATTTATTTTAAATTACATGTTACCTATTTTGCTCGTTTTCTTATTAATTGTTCATATTGTTATTGTTGTACATTCGTGTTGTATTATTGTCTTGAAATAATTAATGTTTAAAGCACAAATTGTCTGATAAAAAATATAATCTGAATATGAAAAACTTAAAAAACAAAAACAAAAATAAGAAATTGATTCAATTTGAAAAATGAGCTCCAGAGGAATTTCTTACAAATAATAAGAAAGATTTAAATAACTTGAAAGTAAGATACATAATACTGATTATTTAACTATATTATCTATTTCACTACCGTCGCTTATCTTATCAAGTAACATTTTCAGTCATCAAAATGAATTTTTAGTAAGAGTTTCTTACCTGGTAAGTGCGTATTCTGTAACACTCTTCTTTTTATTTTACTGGGTAAGATTTTTGGTCATTATTATACTCTTATTGGATAAGATATAGGTCCTTGTCATGCTCACCCGATAAGGTAAATGACACCCTGTAAGTGTTTGGTAAACGACCCCTGAATCTAATATTTGGGCTTTGAAACCGAAATAAGAAAGAATGCTCGACTCTAAACCTCGGATAAGAAAGAAAACACAAGTATCTTTGTTACTCGATAAAGCTGGATGTAGTCTCGATAGTTGCAATGTACAAATTTGAGGTGTTCTGTGTCTAACAGTGTGTTGCCAGATAGAACTTAATAGGCTTGATGTGTAGGTTGCTTAGAGTTGTTCTGTTGTAGCAATCTATTACTCGATAGAATTCAATGCATGTTTGATCATAATTCGATGATTGTGATGAATGAATTTGAGTTGTTCTTTTATGATACTCTGCTACTCAATAGAGCTTGACAGTAGTTCGGTAGTTGTTATGTTAACATACTGATACATTCACAAGCATTCGTTTATTCATAATCATTCATTCATTCTTAAACATACGTTCATTCATACATGTGTTTTCCTCGATTTAATTTCTTAATAAAATATAGCATAAGTAATTTTAAAAAGATTTAGAAGATCCGTTCGTTGAACACTGGATTGATTGTTTTGAAAAAAAGGTCGAACAAATTTGTTTACCATATTTATAAATTTATTTATTTTATTATTTTATTGGTTGAACCTCTGCTTTACAAGAAGTATATCATCAATTTTGATCAATAATTTACAAATCACCCATGATAATCCATTAATATGATGATATATTTGGGTCGTAAACCATGCAATTTCTGAACATCATTTCTTGATATCGTGTTTTATACGATGTTTTTCGTTTATTTCTTCATTTTTCTAACATAAACTCTATTAATTGATTTGGTTACATAATTTATTGTTTAGTTCACAAACAAACTACATCTTGATATTGTTTGGGTACACATAAGATTTACATAAATTATCAAGGATGTGACGATAAACAGATAGTGCAAGCTTTTTAATACTGGAAAAGATATTAACTGGGATATTTTAGTTGTTAGAACTAAACAGTTTCTACAAAAATAATGCGGATCAAGTATCATACTTGATTTCCAATTTATTTGATCTTGCTTTGTAGCAGATCAACGAGTTAGAACAGGGATCCCTATGCAAAAAGCAATTTTATTCTCTTGAGATTGAGATCATGATCAAAGCAGCCAAAGTACTTGTTTTCTGTGTCGGTTGTAAATAAAAGCAAAGCAAGTGCATTCATTGTGCGTAACGTATGGACAATAATCTATGAAGGTACTTTGCAAGTCGATCTATATTTGCCACCAAGCCGATGATATCAAGCCATGTAACATGACACAAACAACGTTTAGCATCAATCGGTTAACCAATTGACCTCTTAACCGGTACCAATCCCTGCCACATGGAGGTTTGTAGAGACTTTCAGTAATTGGATAGAATGGTCCAATAACCTATCTTACTTAACAAGCTAACCGGTCACTTCTTTTAATGTAACTTTTATTATTATTATTATTTATAATTAAATTATATTTTATATCAACATTTTTTGTACCACTTATTTAATAAAAGTTTTTTTTTTTTTTTTTGTGTATGAAGTATTAAAAATAAGATTTAATGTAACATAACTTACGTAAAATGTTATACACTCCAAAGTCCAATTAAACAATATTTTATTTATTTAATTATAACCACAAATCAGTCTCTCAACCGATCCAAAAAAGTCCGGTTTCTGTTTCAATCTGGATCTGGCTAAATTGGGCCTGACCGGTTACATTCCAGTTAACCGGACAATTCTTAACACATTATAGACCGTGCCAAATTTAGAGATGGCCAAGATGGGTCGGGCCATGGCTTTTGGTTGGGATAGGGACAGGTTACACCAGGTTACGAAAAGGGGATCGGTTACACCAGGACAGGTTACGAAAAGAAAATCTTGGACTGCGACCCATTTGTGGTCATTTCTAGTGCCAACTCCAACCCGTTTACACCTCAAGAGCAATGGTTCTTACGTTATTCATGATCGTCCGTATCTATTCAACTGATCAAATAACCTCCAAATCAACTACAACCGTTAGTTGAAAGTTATTCAACGACCACCAATTTATAACATAAGCTTTTCATTGGTGAATATAACGGTCCAAAACGAACAACTTTACACAAGCATCCTAATAAACAAATGGAAAAATAGCATACCGATTACGAGGATAATCGTCGAATTTATGATGATACCATCTTTGTGTTTCTGTTGCTGCAAAAACAAGATTTGCCACCTGCATGATATATGATAATAAATCAGGTGAAATTTTTGAGCTTATTATGGTTGGATTCAGGGTAAAATTATGTCAAAAGGAATGTAAAAAAGAATACCACAAATGTAAAAAGTAACCATAATGAGAGATCTGCACCACCACTGGCCACCAGAAGACCACCGTAGATCACCTTCATCATCATCATTGTGAGACCAAAACAAACAGATTGATTAAGTAAACTTATTAAACGAAACTGGACCAGATCATGCAGTTCATTTGTTTATTGGGTTTCTTCACAATCGAATGTATTTTTCAATCTCATGATAACGGTGTTTCGTCACGTTCGTAGGAGATGGTTGGTGGCTCTAGCAAGGAGGGTAGAAAGTGTGACGGTTGAGGGGACGAGGAGGACATGGGGTGAATCACTGGGGTTGGACATGGCAGGTTTAGGCACTTTCAAGGACACCGAGGAGTTTGTGGAGACGGGGAGGCTTGTTTTGTATAGCATTTGAATGAGGTTTTTAAAGCTCCTTTTACATTGAAAAATCGAGTTTATAGAGAACATGAGAGACTTACGATTTCGGCCGAGTAGTGTGGAGACGAGACGTATTCGAACCAATCACCGTAAGGAATAACATACTCCTCCAGAGTTTCGGTTTTCTCTCGCAAGGAACCCTAATCATAAGGTTAAAAGAGTATGTCAGTTGATTGAACACCAAGAACCATTTCACATAGGGAAAGGCAAGGAAAAGAGAATAAAACTGATGCAAAGCCAAAGTAGCCTTGTGCATCGTGATTCCCCCTTACAAATAGTAAATCAATCCTAGGGTTCACAAACATGAAACAGAGAGGACCTCGTTCTTCATCAAAACTACCTTCTGTAACACTTGAAACTTGACCTAGAAAAATAAATCTAACCACCAGTGACAATGGTTTGAGCCAATGAAGCGGACTTTTTGCAAAATCAAGAGAAAGATTGCATACAAAGACCTAGAAAAATAAATCTAACATTGTAACACCTCCTCTGGTTCTACTACCAACTCCATATCTTCATTTAATTGTGACGGAATGTGTGAAGACAAACAATGTCCCACAACCTTTCGTAATTGTGATATATGAAACACCGGATGGACTTTGGCAGTGGATGGTAGTTGTAAACGATAAGTCACTTTTCCAATACGTTCCTGCACTCTAAAAGGCCCATAAAAACGAGCGGAGAGTTTCTGGTTCTTTCTAGCTTGCAGAGTTTTCTGACGGTAAGGTCTGAGCTTGATAAACACCTTGTCGCCCACATCAAAAGCAGCCTCCTTTCGATGTTTATCAGCCTGTTGTTTCATTTTCTGTTGTGCCTGAATTAAGTGCATCCTTATCTCATCCAACATACTATCTCTTTCCAACAACTCCTCCTCCACCGACTGTACGTTTGTTGTTCAAGTCTCATACTTCAATATTGCAGGTGGGTCCCGTCCATATAATGCTTTAAATGGAGAGCAATGTAGAGAACTGTGAAAGCTAGTACCGTACCAATACTCAGTCCACCCCAACCAATAGCTCCACTGTTTCGGTTTATTTGAAGTAAAACATCTTAGATAGTGTTCCAAGCAACAATTTACTACCTCCGATTGGCCATCCGTTTATGGATGCTACACTGTCGAAAAACAAAGTTTGGTTCCTTGCAACCTGAATATCTCCGTCCATTGACTAAAAAAACCTCATCTATGTCAGTCACCACCCATTTTGGTACTCCATGCAACCTTACAACTTCTTTAATGAACACCTCTGCTACCTGATGAGCATTAAAAGGGTGTGTTAAAGGCATAAAATGGGCAAACTTGCTCAGTCTATCCATGGCAAGATTGTGTCGTTGCCTCCTGACTTCGGCAACCCTTCTATAAAATCCAAGGTTACCTCATCCCAAACCCACATTGGTAACGCCAAAGGTTGTAACACCAAAAGTTGTAATAAACCTGTCGGTGACAGCCCCCAAACCCCCTCCCGATGGCATCAAAACACCCCCCCTAACCCCCTCCCGATGCATCCGCTTCAATAACGAACGGCTTATTTAAATCCGGTAACACCAAAACAGGGGTCGTAGTTAAGTCCATCTTCAACGCTTCAAACACAGCTGCTGCCTCGTCATTCCATCCAAACTTCTGCTTTTTTAGTAAGTCGGTCAAAGGTCGTGCAATTTGTCCGTATCCAAATAAAGTTTTGATAGTACCCGGTTAGTCCCAAAAACCCTCGCAATTGCGTGATTGTTCGTGGTTGAGGCCAGCTTAACATTGCCTCCACTTTGGCATGATCCACTGCCACCCCATTGCGTAAAATTACATGTCCCAAATACCCGATCTCCTCTCTACCAAAATTGCATTTCTTTCGGTTCGCATAGAGCTGCTGATTTCGCAGCCTTTGGAATACCTCCCTTAAGTGGTCACCATGCTCTTCCATCGATTTGCTATACACCAAGATATCATATAAAAAAAACTAAGAAGAACTTTCTCAAAGATGGCCTAAAAACTTCGTTCATCAAAGACTGAAACGTTGTTGGGGAATTTGCCAGTCCAAAGGGCATTATGAGTCCCTCATGAGTTCAAAATGTTGTTTTATGCACATCCTCTGTACACATTCTGATTTGATGATAACCTGCCTACAAATCCAATTTTGAGAAATATTTGGCCCCATGCAATTCATCTAATAGTTCATCGATAATTGGGACCAGGAACTTGTCCGGTACCTTCCTTTGATTTAAAGCTCTATAGTCTATACAAAACCGCCAGCTACCATCCTTTTTTACTAAAAGGACCGGGCTTGAGAATGCACTATGGCTGTGTTGGATGATTCCTGCTTCCAACATCTCCTTTACCATTTTCTCGATCTCATCCTTCTGATATTGTGGGTACCGGTAGGGACGTATATTCACCGGTTCAACCCCCTCTTTCAGTAGTCAGTACAGTTCCATGCTCCCTTTCCCCTCTCTGATGGTAACCCTTTCGGGCACTGAAAGACATCCTCAAACATCTCCAACACTTTGTTACTTCTTTAGGACAACCATCTACTGGCATTCTCTTCCATAAGTCCCAAATCTACCCAAATCCCTTGTCCTTCTTGTGGTGTCGTCTTCATCATAGCCTTCAACAAAACCAACAATCTTCCCATGGACACGTCCCCCTTCAACTGTACTTGTCTTCCTTCCCATTTGAATGTCATAACTTGGGTTTGCCAATTCACATACATTGCTCCCAACGACGCTAATCATTGGATTCCCAAGATAACATCCGAGTTCCCCAATTGAAACGGTAAGAAATTCTCACGAATCTTGATTCCTTGCATCAGCATCTTCACCCCTTTACACACCCCCCTGCCCTTTTACTGTATTCCCCGTTCCCATCAAGATGTACCCTTCTATTTGTTGAACCTTCAGACCTACCTTTCCACCAACTTTGATGTGATAAAGTTGTGTGATGCCTGTATTCGAGTTCAAAGACACCTCCACCCCATTTTCGCTTGTCATGTTGGCCAACTTCGCCTCACCATCATCGAATTCAGTCCCATTACCTTCCATCTCTTCTGTTGCTTCTTGTATAACTACCACACTAAACTACTTGCAACAGTGACCGGGAGCGTATTTCTCATCAAATCTACAACAAAGTCCTTGTTGCCTTTTTTGTTGCAGTTCCTTGTCCGATAATTTTCGAAATTCCCCTACCCCCTTCGTTCCTTCTCCTACCGTCTTGTTCCATCCCCCCATCCACTCTTCTCGTCTCCTACCCCATCGTAAGATCGTCGTATGGAAGGTGTACCTCTTGACGTTCCACCAACGTTTAAGCGTTTTGTTTCGCTCTTCGACTAACAAAGCTACTTCCATTCATTTGTTGAGTCGCAGCGGTCCTAAAAATCGTACCTCTGCTCTAATTTCCGGCCGTAATCCGTTTATGAATTGGCTCACATAAACTTCTTCCAGAATTCCATTCAACGGGGCTGCTAGCGATACAAACTTCCTCTTATATTATGCCACGCTCCCTTCTTGTTTTGCAGCCAAGAATTGCTCATAAGGAGTTTCTTCAGCGGTGGTTCTAAATTGTGTTAAAATCAAACTCACAAGCTCCTCTCATTACATGATTGGTCTTCTTTTATTTTCCCATTGATACCATCTTAGGACATCTCCCTCAAATGAGATCACCACTACTTCAAGGCTTTCCTCGTTAGAGAGTCGATTTAACATACAATACCTATCGGCCCTTAGATTGCAACCGTCTGGATCTGAACCATAAAAAACAGGCATCTCCAGTCGTCTGCCCTTGATTGCGAAGAATGGCCCTGACTCCCCATTCCTATCACCATTCTCAAACCGGCGATCTACACCGTCTGGTCCTGCATTTCTTTCCCCATCACGACCTCGTTGATCCTCTCCTTCAACCTCGTCATTGCCTCATGCTGCCGATCTCCTCATCGATTCTTCCTGTATCGCATGAAGGCATCCAATCTTTGCATCATTTCCATCTTCTCTTCTAGAGATACAATCTTCCCATTGAAATCGCCCAAACTTCCTTTAATTTCATCTATTCTTGATTGTACCGATCTCGTCATGGTTTCATAATCGTGCTCTGATACCAATCGATACGACTACTATGAATTCAAGAAAAGGAAAGGTGAAGAAATCGATTATCTATTAAGTCGTCATCTTTCGAAAGGTGACTCTCTCCTATATAGGGTTTATACAAAGAACAAATTGAAAAATTCTTTCCCCTCCAGATCTGCAACTATATACTTGGTTTCCCCCCATTTTCCAACTACAACAAAATCGACTAATTGTTTTTAGATCCTTTCAGCCACTTATTTTCATGAATTGTCTACATTGCCCCTCATCCCCTTTCTTTTCCTAGAATACGTAAATTCTACTCTCGGCATAACATAGTAGAGCAGTTGTTTCCCTTAATACCCCCATCTTGTGCAAGAGAGTGAGCAAACAGGTAGCAAAAGAATAAAGATTAACATATGGTGAATAAAACACCAAAAAATAAGCAAGAAAAAGTAGCAAATAGGTACATTGAACACATACAAAAGATAAGGTAAGGCAAAAATACATTCCCATCTTAATCTGCCAGCCCTCTATCCCCCTCCCAACCATTTCAACTCGCTTTCACCCACCTACACTGGCTATGGTGGAGCCTTTTATTATTATTTTTGGCGGGAATAAGTAAAAGGTGATCATCAAAGATCGTTTTTACCAGCAACATGGACAAAAACAAGCATGCATAGAAATCATCTCCAAAAACAAACAACTAATCAAAGGTTCATTGACCTAGTGGTATCTAGGTTACCGGTAAATCCTTGCTTCCCTAGAGGTCAAGGGTTAAAATGTCACCAAAGATGAGGAGTGCACATCAGTATTTTCCATATATAAATATATACATAGAAAAAAAAAACTATCAGCGGCAAGGCATGAACTTACAAGAATTTCATGACAACGGAGTTGATGTACCCAACCCCATAGGAATATAGCTGCACCTATCCATGCATACCATCGAAGTCTCAAGAAAGGAGTCACAAACATCCATATGTTAAACTCAGGCTTGGACATGCGATCTTTTCCCTTCACAATGAACTCCGCCACCAGATTCTTCACAAAGTCAAACACTTCAGGTGCAAAAGTACAGCATAGAGACAGTGGAGCTGCTGTATAGAAACTGATTTAACAGAGATCACTTGAATAAGAAGAGAATCTTCAAATATGGAGAAAAAAGGTTCTAAGATGAAATTAAGGATTTCATTTAGCCAAATATCAAAGCTGAGAAGGCTTAAAAAGAGCAAAAAGCTTTGTAGTTTCTGAGATATCTTGCTTTGATTAAATATAGTTCAAAAGCTGTGAGATAGCTTTGACCAACAGAAGAAAAACTTAGATCAAAATGTAAGATAACCACGTACTAAACGACAAGCAAAACATCTACATGTGGCGGCTTTGCAAGTCACCTGAAAACCTTACCATAATCAATATTGTAAGGAGATCCCATAAAATTTAATTATGATCCGATTATGCATCTAAGAGAACTATTACAAGGACAAAAGCATGAAGGATAGATAAATAAGGGGAAGAGGAAGAACATGATGATTTTATGTCGAGGCCATAAGCCTAAGTACTCTCACGTTGCCTAAATCTTAGACATGTAGTTTAATAGTTTTAAGAAGTTCCCAAAATCAAACAGTAATTTTTGCATGGCTGAAGCCCTTATCAGAATATAGTTCATCCCACTCAGAATTTTGATCAGACCAAGGTCTAAAATTCATCAGAAGATCACAACACACACCCACACACATATGTATATATACATATTCATATAGCAAGGAGAAACAGAAATAAATTGCTGCAGATATGCAAAACTTACAATAGACCAGCAAGATAACCAAAGATGTGCATTCTAGCAGATGAACTGTAGTTAAAAACATAGATTGTCTCATAGAAGCGTCGCAAAACTTGAACTTCCATCAGCAAAAGCAGAAACACAGATAGCCAAACATTGTATACATGTTCTCTTGTCGACAAAGATTTATGCCAGGAAAAGGCATGCGAACCTCCAGTCAAGTGGCTGGTTATAGTAGAAAATAGGTCATGCTCGATAAGTGATGGTAGCATCTTAAGTGCATAAAACCACACTGCAACAAGTAAGATTGTTGTCCAGAAAATGGCCACCACATAAAAGTGAGAGAAGAATCTCTGAGGCACGGTTAATTTCTGAAATGCACACAAACAATGCATAAATGGAGTTGTCATACAAAGAGAAAAACTCATTCTAGCCATCATACAAACTGAAGAATGAACAGCACACAGGACAAGCAGATATCTTTTTTATGTCAAGGAATTTGTTCAGCAGGATTCTTAAAATACTCGCAGAAGAAAAATGGGGGAAAGAATAAAGAAAAGAAGAAACTAAAGAAAAGGCCGACCCTAGTGCACCAAGGCTCCTCAACTTTGCAAGGCTTGGGAAGGAAGTATTTTGTACGCAACCTTGTAAAGAGGTTGTCTCCATGACTTGAACCCATGACTTTTGGCTCACAAAAGAGTATCCTTACCATCTGCATCAAGGTTACCCCAAAAAGACCAAAAACAAGAGCTTCACACATAATTATCACATAATATCTAGTTATCTACGACGCATAAAAACTATACGAAAACATGAAATTACTTCAGTGACAAATGCTTCATACTTCACCCAGTTAGTCATATTAGATTATCAAAGGAAGATTTCATTTGGTTGGTTAAGAGTTACATGTATGTGTATATTTGATAAATCAGGCTGTCCAGCTAACAGCAATAAATAACAAGTTTTGTTGTGGGTGCACGAAAAAGTTTTTGACAAAACAAGTTCACTTTGTTAATTTCTATGTCATAAAACAGTTGTCTTGAAGCCTTTTGTATGTGCACGCTTGTACTATGGGCCACAAGGAGATTGAGAAGGGTCTCATTTCTAGAGTCTTATATTTGTTCATGCAAATCAGTTAAAATTCTAGAATGCATATAGTTCATGATGTTTCTAATTTTTCCAAGACAAATCTGGTGGACAAATGGAACATTTTACTTTCCAAATGTACCATTGCAAGTAATATGCTGTTACAATGGTAATGATCCTAGCAATCTAGCATCAGAATTTGCTATTGATTCCCAGATTATTACCATTCTAACAATGCATTATTGTTATTAGCCCATTTGAGGTGGCATTTTGATAGCCGAATGCAACTACAGTCCTCAGAAATACGAGTATTTGATTGGCATTGCATAAAGGCATAGGTTTCGGTAAAATTTACTGGTTGTATTATTATGTTCTCGGTGCTCTTGCATTAAGCATGCTTTCGCTTTTTGTACAAGCCTACTCATGCATGAATTATCATAGAGCATTTAAACATCTATAGACCTGTAAGGCTACATGCATGGAATCCCTAAGTACGACACGTAAAATGGCAAACCATAGCTTCATACTAAGCTATATATGGCCATGTTTACCCACTCCTATACACATAACACCTAAGGAGTTGGCCTATGATGGATCTCGTGATCCGGGAATGTAAAATTCCACTTCTCATGCTTTGAATGTATATGGTAGTGGGCCAACTCTGTTGAGCCACGCAGCTGAATAAGAAATATGCGACATTAGTAAGATTAAAATTACTTCAACCACTATGTCATTTAAAATTATTTCAGGGCTTATTGAACAAAACTAGCTAAGATAGCAATCTAGATAATGGAATCTCTGTAATGCCATCTGGACCCACATTAATATGTATAGTTAATTACATACCAAAAGATTTTAAACTCTTGTTCCAAACTTGCCACATCAATGAGAGAAATAAAGAAGAGAGAGGCTATATACGATCATGAGAATGATGTAAATCAAGTACCTAGATCTTCTTTGTTTAAGCAATATATCTACAGACATTTTCTGAAGGAAATAGTTTATTTGAGTAGCTGATCGATTTATACTCTGTCAGTAGGGAGGCACATCTTTTAGTTATGTGGATCAGTGATCTGTTCTAAGAAAGTTTGCTTGTAAATCGTATTAATCTAAAAGTAGGGTTTAACCTGATAATAAAACTAAACGCATCAAGGGTGCTCAACAAAGCAGTGTGACAAATGTGTCCACGAACATTACAGCAACGAATTGATGTATTGAAGGATGAAAACAAAAATTATTTGTGTTAAATGCAGTTCATAAATTTTCAGAAGACAAAAAAGTGTTTGATTGTACACTTTTGAGGATTTAAATCATCCCAACAGAATAAGAACAAATGAGACCATTGTAAACTATGTGTTTAAATTATTAACTCATGCGTCATGCCGACTAATATTCCAGGCTGGCAGATTAGTGATACTCGTCAGAAAAGAAACAATGTTTGGTCAAAATACCTGTATATTTGAGACTACAAAATTCAAGGCAAGCCGATTTCCTAGAAAAGTATAAATAATCCAACATTCATTAGAATTGCCAACGTGACAGTTACATTCAACCGAGATGGATTACTTAAGATGATCATCAGCAAATCAGCTAACCTAAGGATAAGTTTGCTTGTTGTCAATGTGACAGTTATATTCGACAGATACTGATTACTTAAGATGATTATCAGGAAATTATCTAACCTTAGGGAAAGTTTGCTTAAATATTCAACGACACAAAAACGTTAACTGCTGTTCATGCCAATTATTATAAACATAACAAGCAGAACAAGGGTAGTCTCACTTACAGTGGAATTGGATGGCAAAATCTTGCCTCTCTTGGCAAAACCCAACAGAGCTCTGCGAAACCAACCAAGCCCGGGCAATGGCAAACAGGCTAAAAGAATCGGCAAAGTAGCAGCAATCCACGCTGCTCGAAGCAATGATACAAGCCCCAGCCCCAGCTCCTCCATTCTTTAGACGAAAAAGATGTTTTTATCCCAATATGATTGCATTAGAAGAATAATTTGTGGCCGAAAATAATAAATACTACTTAAAAATGTGTAACACATTGAAGCCTGAGTCTTTTTGATGCTATCACGAGTATGCCGTTTCCCGTGTATAAAGAGACGTGAACTAAGAGCAATTCTAGGCGTGTGGACTGAAAATTCTGATTTATACCAAATGGAGTAAAACTTTTGTTATTCCAAAAACAAATCGTATGATTGAAGTAGACATGAAACTGAACGGAGAAGGATATAAAACCACACAACATTTAAACACATTTTTGCCCTAGGTTTTGAAATGAAAGAAATCACATGACTGTGCCGTACGATTTGGAGAGTTACCATAGGATGGAGGTTTATGTAATGCATCTGGTGCAAGATGGACGAATCTGATGCATTAAATCTCGATTTATTTGGAGAATCTGACGCATTAAATCTCGATTTATTTTTGTTGATATGGGGAAGAATGTGAGAGATTGGAGAGGGGAATAGATGGACGAAGAAAGAGAAAAATCAGTGCCATTGTGAAGATGTTATGAACCTCCACTAGTAGTTTTATTTAGGCTCCATGGATGTACAATAAGAATGTGATGAATGCATGATAGACAGACGTATAAAGGATCAAAAACAGAGCATACCTGAGATACATAATTTCTGACATTATCATGGCTGATCGGAAAGGTCGAACTTCGTTCAACTTTTAGCAAAACTTCTTCTTCTTCACCCGAAATCGAATCCCTAACCCGAATCACTCATGCTTGACCCGAATTCCAGATTGTTTTAATCCCGGTGAATGATTCTCATGATCATTCCAACGACATCATGTTCTAATCGCGAATATCGAGACGACAGAGAACGGCAGCCAGTGCCGCAACGGCGCAACCCCACTCCGCCACAACCACGGCGTTTTCCACGTTTCAAGTACTGATCGACTAATTCATTCCACAAATCAACAACTTCCGTTGCTACACTAGAATTTTAAAGAAATAGAGAATTACAAAATAGTCCTTATGATACCTCTTGACTACATTTTTAGTCCTTTACTTTAAGTTTTTTGTACTTTTATCCAACTTTAACTTTTTTGTAACAATCAAGTTTTTCTTACTACCAAACATTAAGAGTGTTTATTAAAAAGAAAATTTTTAAATCTTAATAAACATGATTTATTTTGTTAGTTTTTATTTCTTAAAAGATTATAGTTATATAAATAAAAATCTAATTACATTTAATTAATTGAATTCATTAAATCATTCAACATTGAAAACGTGAAATTCGACTTCCATTCTTAAATTTCAAACCCTAATGAGATACAAAGTTATATATGATTTCTTTTATTGACCTATGATATCCAACTCATTATGCGAGTCGACTAATCCCAGTATAATCATCTGTTTTGTGGATAACCTGGAGTCACCACATTTGAACCTTCATGACCATGAGAGAATTTTTATTCCTTCTTATATTTGAACCCGATGATCTTCAGACACTTTTGACATTTGAATACCAAGGTCAAACCAAACGCACACCATCCTTGTAGTTGGTGGATTATATTTTAGTTATTGGTGAAATGAAACATGTATATATTATTGTTTACCAAAACGGTACTCGCACAATGTAGCTAGATATATCTTTATTTTAATATTTCGTTTAATTTTTTGTCTATGTTGATGTATACGATTTATGTGATTTTGAGAAAGATAATGTTTTTACGATTCAGTGAAGTAATTTATTTTTGACTTAACAATAAAATTTTATAAAGATAAAAATTCTGTTAGAACTCAATAATTATCATCATTATATTTTAGGTTTTTTATATTTAAAATGATATGTTTATCTGTAATTAGTTATACGAATTAAAAAATGGACCTTTAATAAGTTGTATTTACGCACAATTTACTTGTAATATTAAATTTTAAGTAATATGCATTAATACACAGTACTTCATGCATAAATAATGGTTTTTAAGAGTTTTTATCAAATATTTTATAATATACTAGAAGAGTACTCGAGCAATGCAGCAAGATAAATCTCGATTTTAATGTTTAGTTTTTATTCTTTATCTATATCTATATAATACGATTTTATATGGTTTTGAGAAAATGGTAATGTTTTTATTTTTGAGTGAAACATAAATTTGAATATAGCATAAAAATTTGAAAAGAAAATAGATCGATATTATTATCAAATTAACTATTTAATAGTTCTTGTTTTTTTGGTGTAACTTCTTTAACTCAATTTTTGTTATAATTTAATTTAGATTTAATAACAAAGTAATTTATTTTTGGTTTAATAATATAATTTTTTTATAAGGATAATAATTAAATATTTTGTTAGAACTCAATAATTATCTTAATTATATTTTAGATTTTTTATATTTAAAATAAATGTTTATCCTATATTTGATTATGTTTATCTGCAGTTAGTTACACGAATTTAAAAATATAATTTTAATACGTTGTACTTACGTAAAATTACTTGTAATCTTGAATTTTAAATAATATGACCAAGAAATAAGGATGCATATTTTACTTTAATCAGATGTTCGGTCCTCTTGAACTAGGCGTAATCAACCTAAAAAAAGAGTGTGGTTCAAATTGTGATTGATCTAGACCCAATGATCCTAACTATTTGTGATCAACCCAAATTCTTTGTTTTTCTTAAAAAAATCTGGAACTGATTTGGAAAGTTGGGAGACAGAAGGATTTGGTTTTTGGAAAATTATCATTATAACCATTTTATACCTACCTTATTAAAAAAATAACTATTTTGAAGAAGGAGTGCGAAAACGGCCACCCGAATCGCCCTCGGAGGGCGATCCGTACACTAGGGGGCGATCCCCTTTATTTTTGTAAAAAAATAAATAAAAAATTAATTTAGGTGGGTTCCACATGTTACCTAAAAATAAGATATTACTATTCACCCTTGATCCGCGTTCTCGAGCCCCTATGGGGCGATCCACGTCAGCCACCCACTCCCCAGGGGAGATCCATGTCAGCACCCCCGAGGGGCAATCCAGCATTAAAACCATATTTTTTTTTGAATTTTTTTTGCGGTATTTTTAATTAAAATGATACGCTATTTAAATTATTATTTTTTACCTTTTTAGAACCAAATTTCATGGTTAAGGGTTTAAAAACAAACCATGATAATTATGGAGACGCAAAAATTATTTTTATTTGATTTGGGGGACGTAAATCAGATATTATATCTGATTTACGAAGTTTGACCGCTATTTTGTCTTTTAGTGTTCTTGATTTGACGACGATTTAACAATTAAAGGGTGTATTTAATAAAAATGAAACAATACTTAAACTGTGTTTTTTAAACTTTTTTGAGTAAAAATTTCATGGTTTTTTGTTATAAAAATAAAACCATGATAATTGTGGTGACGAAAAAAATTAATTTTAGTTGATTTTTTGGGAAAAAATCAGATATTATATATGATTTACATAGTTTGACCGTTATTTCGTCTTTTAGTGACTATGACGCCAATTTGACAATGTATTTTGTCTTATTACTTAACAGTTTATATCAAGTGGCGGTGGGGGGGGGACCATAATCTCACAATCACCACCGTGAACCACTCGTTCATCTCTAGAAAAACGGATCTTGGGTCATCCCCACCGACCATCCCGACCAAAAACGACCACCATTTTTCGATATACCGTCATCCACCATCGTTTGACGACATCGACCACCTTCCGGCGCCACTGACCACCTTCCGCAACCAACGACCACCGTCAACCGCCGCCGACCACCGTCAACCGCCGCCATCCACCACCTTCCGCCGCCATCCACCACCTTCCGCCGCCACCGACCACCTTCCGCCGCCATCGACCACCGTGAACCGCCGCTAGCCACCACCGTCCGCCGCCTCTATGGAAACATCGGTAAATATTCTATCTATCTATCTATATAGGTATATATGAATGCATCTAGACTACTTGGTTTTGTGTGTATATATATATATATGTGTGTGTGTGTGTATTTATTTATCTATCTATATATATGTATCTATCTATCTATATGTATGTATCTATCTCTATACTTATATATGTAAATTTCCATTGTTAGCGAAATGTATGTATGTATGTATCTATCTCTATATATATGTGTGTATATATATACATGTATGTATATACATATATATGTACATATATACATATACGTATAAAAATATGTACATATACGTAAATATACGTACGTATATATATACGTAAATATACGTACGTATATATATACGTAAATATACGTACGTATATATATACGTAAATATACGTACGTATATATATACGTAAATATGTAAAGTTTCAATTTTTGTACCTATATATATGTGTTGTTTTTACGAAATGTATCTATCTATCTCTATATTTATAAATGTTAGCGCATTTGATTCTCGATTTGTTATCGAAATGTATGTATGTATGTATATACATATATAAATACATACATACATACATACGTAAAGATATGTAAATATACGTACGTATGTAAATACGTACATATATGTAAAGGTTCAATTTTTGTACGTATATATATATAGATGTTGATTGAAAGTACATGTATATATATACGTACATATGTAAAGTTTCAATTTTTGTACGTATATATATATGTTGTTTTTACGAAATGTATCTCTATATATAAATGTTAGCGAAATGTTATCGAAATGTATGTATGTATATATATACGTAAAGATACGTAAATATACGTACGTATGTAAATATGTACATATATACGTATATATGTAAAGGTTCAACTTTTGTACGTATATATATAGATGTTGATTGAAAATATATATATATATATACGTATAAAAATACGTACACATATATATATAATACGTAAATATGTAAAGCTTCAATTTTTGTACGTATATATATATATATATATATATATGTGTGTGTGTGTTGTTTTCACGAAATGTATCTCTCTATATATAAATGTTAGCGAAATGGATCATCCCCCAGGGGCGATTTGGGGGTCCATTTCGGCATTTTCGTTAAGAAATGGTTATTTTGATAATAATGAAGGTATGAAATGGTTATTTTGATGAATTTTGTTTTGGTTTTTCATGGTTAATAATTTGCCCTAATGGGAAAAAGTAATTTCTCTAAATTTAATATTTTTATAATCTCTTTCATCTTTTCTTTATATTAGCATAAAAAATGACATAATTATTGAAACATAAAATTTGCTAAAATTCATATTTTTTTTTATTTTAATATAGTTGTTAAAGACGCTTTAAATAATCTTTTTAGGGAGTTCTTCAGATTTAGAGAATCTCTCCACCCTCTCGTATTTTATACAAGAAGGTTTTAATTTTTTTAAAAAACGAACAAAACCTCCAAAATCTCTATTTTGAAGAATCTATTAGAAATACTCCAACAAGTCTTTTACTAAACACTTGTTTTGGTGATTATTTGCCGGTTTTACTAGATAAATAAAATAAGGACTAGAATCTTATCCAACAAAAGAATCTTACGTGGTATATGCAGATAATTCTTACGATAAACGCTTATGGCAACATGAAGCAACCAATGCATACCGGAACTCATGAGAACAAGACTCCAGTGCACTCGTACATATGTTATGAGGCATGTAGCATGATGTTGATGATGCAAACCTATTTGATGATTGTTTGTATGTAAACATTGGATATATTGAAATATGTATCAATCTTATTGTTTGATATATTGGTTTTCTTTCAAAAAAAATTCTAGTAGTAAGTAGTGATCATGAAATCCGTCCAGTAGTTCGTCGTCATTGATTGAGAGAAAATATACGTTTAGAGAGAGAGAAACGCAGTCAGAGCCTCGCCGGCTTTCCATCATCGTTCATTCCGTCACCATTGGCGGAGAAACCCTAGCTATCTTGTGCTTGTCGCCTGTCATTTCATCTCCAATCGGTTGTTCGGTAAACTATTTATACTGTGTTTTCTGTTTCCTCTTTATTATTCAGAAATATGTACGTGAGTTGTTGATATTAACCTCTCATTTCTGTAAATTAGGGTTCTAAGTTGGTTACTGATTTTATTTCATTTCCATTGATTGTTTTAGGGTTTGTTTACGTAGTTTCAGCATTACATAGGTGTACCTAGGGTTTTTTAATATCAACTTAACTTGATTGATTTTGGGGATTTGGGGTGGAACAAATTGGGATTGTCGAAAGAAATGAGCGAAACTGAGGAAGGGATCCAAAGGGTGCAAGCTTCATTTGGTCCTTCATCATCATCAGTCTCTAAACTACAGTCGCATGTTTCTTTCAATCATCTTGACGTACCACAGTTGAACACAGCCCAATTTCGCTCCCAGATTCGACAATTTGCCCCAAATTTTATCAATGAAAACAGCAGTAAAAGAGTCGGCATGCCTCCGGCTCATCCACAAATCCGTTCACTTTCACCTCCCTCACAGATTCCTGTTATGCAGAGTCCTGAAACTGAAGGTTCACATTCAAGATCTTTATCACAGACCTCTTTTTTCCCAGTTGATTCTTTGCCCCAATTGAGCCTGTCTCCAACTTCAGCGCTTACCTCTGATCAAGTGGTAACTGATGTGTCAATGGAAGATCACGATTTGTTGCCACCTTCCTTAGGGAGGGAGAATTCAGCCCGAATTTCTGAGAACCTTCCACCCCGTAAGACGCACAGGCGGTCAAACAGTGATATTCCATTTGGGTTTTCAACTATCTTGCAGTCATCACCACCATTGATTCCATTAAGAGGTTCTAAGGGTCTGGATGGATCTGCATCTCTAAGAAACAATCCAGGGTCAAAGCCAGTGCAATATGTCAAATGGGAATCGAGTTGGGAGAAAACTAGTGGTGAAAGCAATGCCAAAGGAATTGAAGAGAGGAAATGTGAAGGTGAAGTTGTGGATGATTTGTTTTCAGCCCATACAGTCTTTAACAATCTTGATGGATTAAACTCTTCTAGAGCTGAAAACCGTGAAGATTTGGATAGCAGAGCTAGTGGTACAAAGGCACATGTAGGTGATGGCAGTGATAACGAAGCTACAAGTAGCGTAAATGGAGGTGTCGTTAACAATATGCAGAGGTCAGGAATCTCTTCGATTTTTGATAAAAGGGAAGGGATCAAAAGGAGTGCTGGTGGAGACATTGCTCCAACTATGAGGCACTATAGAAGTGTCTCTATGGATAGCATTATGGGGAAGATGAACTTTGCTGATGAATTGCTTAAGCTGCCACCTTCTCCCGAAGGCTGCATCAATAAATTCCCGCCAAGTGATTCAATCAATGCAAATTCAGACACGTTTAACTTGGAGTTTGGAAATGGCATGTTTAGTGGGACCGAGCTCAAGAAAATCATGGCTAACGATAACCTTGCTGAGATGGCGTTAACTGATCCAAAGAGGGTCAAAAGGTATGTAACTTCCTTTAATTATTTGCACCGTTGGCTCAAGGCTCGTCTCCGACGCCACATTAACCCCCATGGCACGCCATGGTCCAATTGCGAGGTTTTTGTAAGGCATCATATGATCTTTTTTTTTTACTTTTTAGTATACAATCTAAACTTAATTTTCCAATACATCGACTCATTCGGGAATATTTGAAAACATACGAGTGTGTATATATACGTATGATATAGAAATTTGTCTCTATAAGTTGCATTTAGAAACGCTGTGATTTTGCCATGACTCCTAAGGTTGAGGCTTGACCTCACTATCACGTCTCACGCCATTTAGAACCTTGATTATTAGTCGTCCCCTGTTTCATTTCACTTTTCCTTGAAAATTGGAAAGTTAAAAAGTTATTTATTTGCCTGTCACTAGCATTATTTGTCTTTATTCCTTATGGTCAAACATTTTATGGGTCAAGTCTAGGGTAGTAATATTAGTAGCTCTTTGTTTACTACAAGAATGACTCCAATTATAAAGGAAAAACATCTACCATCTGAAACGTTAGAAGAAATCTAGTGTTCTAAAAAGAATGTTTAAAAGAACAATTGAATCCTGCTGCTTAAAAAGATTCTGGGCTTCCTCAGGATTTTGGCAAATAGACAGTCAGCTGCTCGATCCAAAGAAAGGAAAATGCGATACATTGTGGAATTAGAAAACAAGGTTCAAACTTTGCAGACAGAAACGACGTCATTATCTACCCAGCTTATGTTATTGCAGGTGGGAGTTTCTCAAGCTCTACGAGCCATTATTTCTCATAAGTTTATATATTTTCAGTGTTCTTAATTTTGATCTTGTTTACTTGCTTTCCAGAGAGATTCAACAAGTCTAACAAGTCAAAATAATGAGCTAAAGTTTCGGTTGCAAGCAATGGAACAGCAAGCCCAGCTCCGGGATGGTAAGACTCAAGTGCATCTTTAAAGCGCGCGCACACACACACGTACATATATATATATATATATGTGTATATATAGAAAGAGAGAGTGAGAAACAGATAGAGAGAGAGAGTCTCCTTTTAGAAAGCCATGAATTCTTACAGACCAGTTTTCATGTGTTCATATATGAAACAACACGTATGAAAATGCAGTGTTCATAAAGTGTTGTTTGATGTGAAACGTTCAAAATCGTTTTTTCCACACACAAAACAGTCATGAATGTTTCATACATGAAACAACAATGTATTATCACACCTATTGTTTCATATGGGAATCAACACATGAAAACTGGTTTGTAAGTTTATACGATTTTCTAGGTTTGTAAATGATTACGTGCCTATAGAAAGTATCAAGTTCAAATGAGAATTGTAAACATTTTGAGAATTGGGTAACCACCTATGACGTATTTCATGTATTATTCACGACAAATATCGTGATAGATATTCATGATGAATGTTGTGAATCGTGATAGATATTCATGATTGTTCTTCATGAATGCTACATATAATAGGTGGTTCACCAGTTCTCAAGATATTTATAGTTCTCATTTGATATACCAACTTTAGTTGATCTTTTTAGAAATGCATAATATCAAATGAGGTATGAGAACTACTTCCAGAACCATATGACATAGGAGTTTGGTTTGGTTTAAAAAGAATGGAGAAAAATGATATCAAATGATGCTTTTAGTGTTTGTTATTTTTGGACGACTCTTGGCAGCTCTAAATGAGGCTTTAACTGCGGACGTTCAACGTTTGAAGATCATGACTACCGAGCTAAGTGGCGATGCCGCTAAATTTTCTCAGCTATCGCTCAATCCCCAAATGTTTCAGTTGCATCAACAGCAACAAAATGGGTGTGCAACAACTACGCACGAGTAAAATCATAAGGTCGGGGATCGGATAACCTCATGATTACGAGTATGCTTATGCTAATAGTGCTATGGTGTTGAGTTCTTTCATTCTTTTGTTCTTTTGTATCTCTGCATATTCCAACCCATAACCCTATCTTTATATGGGATTCACCGATTTCGTTTGGTTCGGTTTAATTCATGCGTCTATTGTTAAGTAGATTGTTTAGGTTCGTCAAAATTTTTGACTTGAAACGACCGTAGCTCGAGCACTTCAAGATCGTACTCGAGCCAGAACTCAATTCAGTTAAGCTCATTTACATCCCTCATATGGTTAGCAAATGAAACATCTAGCTTATTATTTGGGATGGGAGTTACGTCTATGTACATCTCACTCCCAAACCTAAGCACCGGCTAAGTTATATTGGGCCGACTCAACAACCAACAACTTAGTTTAGTTCAACTCGATTACATCCCTAACGATGAACAAGGAAACAATCACTCTACTATCTGGAATATAAGTCGAGTCAACATACATCTTGGCCCTAGACCATACATTGGGCTCGTTTGATTTGGTGCAYACATCTCAACCCTAGACCATACACCGGGCTCGTTTAATTTGTTGCACACATCTCAACCCTAGACCATACACTGACGCTCGTTTGATTTGGTGCATACATCTCAACACTAGACCTTGACAGATATACTAGGCTCGTTTGATTTGATGTAGGCTCTTGGTATAAACACTCATCTCTTGCCAAGATCTAAAGAAACAAGAGATTAGCGGACAAGTTCATAGGAAAACCTTGATTTATCTGTAGGAAACAAGATATCAAAGGTCAAGAAACATCAAAACCTACCAAAAACGGAAATCTTGATGACGAAACTAAACACGAACTTTATGATCTTGTTCATTGTTGATATCGACGTCTTTCTCGTTTCGATCTTTAGTCCCATGAAGCCAACCTCCATCAATCGATTCGACACTTCCATTCAATCCATCATCCACAAAATCGCCAACCCGCTTCACTTTACCACTCGGCTGCACCGGATACTTGCCAGAAAAACACGCATAACAGAAGTTACCCGAATTGCCATCCAACATCTTCTTCAAACTATCGATTCCGAGAAATGCAAGTGAATCCGACCCGATATAATCCCGGATCTCCTCCACATTCATTCGATTCGATATCAATTCCTCCGAGCTCGGCGTATCGACACCGTAATAGCAAGAAGCGATGATTGGTGGACTTGCGATTCTCATATGAACTTCTTTAGCTCCGGCTTCTTTCAACAATCGAACAATTTTTGAAGAAGTTGTCCCTCTAACGATCGAATCGTCCACCACCACCACCCGTTTCCCGTCCAAAACCGCCCTCACTGGAGAAAGCTTAAGCTTTACGCCAAAATCCCGAATCTTTTGTGACGGCTCAATAAACGTCCGACCAACATAATGCGATCGAATCAAACCCTGTTGAAATGGCACCCCTGCTTTAGCAGCATAGCCAAGAGCCGCCACAACTCCGGAATCCGGCACCGCAATCACCACATCACAGTCCACCGGAGCTTCCATAGCCAGAATTTCACCAAATTTTCGCCGGGATTCATATACAGACATCCCGAAAACAATCGAATTTGGTAACGAAAAGTAAATGTGCTCAAATATGCAAGATTTTGGCTCTGAATGTGGCATTAAACAGAGAGATTGAATCCCATCTTCGTCTATAACTAAAACTTCACCAGGATTAACTTCTCTTTCATATGTAGCTTCGATTAAATCTAGGGCACAAGTTTCTGAAGCAAAAACTATGGCGCCATTGCTTCTTCTACCCATCACCAATGGCCGAAATCCAAGTGGGTCTCGAACTGCAACCAATTTATCTTCAGTTATGAACACCATTGAATAAGCTCCTTTAAGCTTTTCACAGGCTTCAATGATTCTTAAGAAGAAGGGTCTTTGTTTAGAAATGGCGATTAGATGCAAAACAACTTCAGTATCAGAACTAGTACCAAAAATTGAACCATTTTCTTCGAGTTCATGCCTCAAGGTTTGATAATTTACCACATTGCCGTTGTGGGCAACGCCGACACGGCCAAATCGGTAGCCGGCGACGAAAGGTTGGACGTTTTTCAGCATGGATTGACCGGCGGTGGAGTATCTTACATGGCCGATGGCGTTGTTTCCTGGAAGTTGGTCGAGTTTGGATTCGTTGAAGACTTCAGAAACAAGGCCGACGCCGGTGACTGATTTGAGGACACCGTCGGGTGCCGCGACGACGATGCCGGCTCCTTCTTGGCCACGGTGTTGGAGTGCGTGGAGGGCTAGGTAGCAGAGACGGGAAGCCTCTGGGTCGCCGTAGATCCCGACGACGCCACACTCTTCCCTCGGCTTATCATCATCGTCGTCGTTGTAATCGAATAGCGAGTTTTGGTCATCTGGGTTTGATTCAATTGATGAGATCACATCGGAGATTGGGTTTTTTGAGGAAGTTTTGAGGAGATTTTTGCGGGTTTGTGACGATTGGGGGGGAGGGAAAGATAGGGTTTTTGAGATAGGAGAGAACGACGGGTGCTTACAGAGAGATGATGTAGGTTCGTCGGCGGGTTTGGTCATCGGAGAGAGGCGGGTGACGGTGGCGGCCATTTTGGAACAGGTAAATTAGAAGAACGGAGAAGACGGACGGGCTTGTGGATATACCCGAAGTTGAAGTTTTAGGTTTGTGTATTTTTTATGATTTGAGAATACTCGCGTGCTAAAGTCACGGACGGTGACATTGTCATACCAATGACATTTTTTTCCTAAAAAATTAGCAAATTATTTTGGATATAATATTTGTTTTATTAAATTTAATAATTCAAAGTAATGGAAATGCAGAAAATAAAATGTGATGTTAATATCTATTTGAGAAAATTAGAAGGACAAAGTTAAAATAGTATAAAGAATTAGGGTTATTTATCGGTTGAGATTGAATGGATTTAAGTGGATCCGATCTGATTCAACTATTTATTGGATGTTGGATTTTGTCATCCGATTAACATTGGACATCTGATCCGATTCAAATCCAGTGAATGATTGGATCGGATTGGTTCCATCCATTGGATGTTACTATTGGTTATGCATAGGATTTGATTTGATTCATCCAATCATTCGATTCAATACTCAACCAATTATTCGTATATTTTCTTAAGTTATTAAAAAGTAATGTATATAAACATCAATTAAAAAATCGTAAAATATTAATAATTAGATGTTAGTTGGATGATCATTGGATGAGGAATTGGATTGAATCAGTTCGGTTTTATTGGAAGCTGGACTGTCGTCCAAGAACCGATCGATCCGATTTGGATGTTGAAATTCTGGATCCGATCCAATCCAATTACAATTGGATATCCGATGATGGTCAGTCGGTTCTAATTGGATCGGTCGGTTGATATTGAATTAGATGATTTTCTGCACACCCCTATGGAGGAAACTCGCAAACATTTTGAATGAACCAAAAGAATTGAAAATAACGTTGAAGAGTAATCAATTAGGAAGACATAAAAGATGAAGAGGAGTCGAACATATTCTAGAAGGATCCATACATCTCTAATATCTGTGTAACTAGAATTTTTCGTTGTAAATATCTTTAGACTAATATAAACTAAGGCTGTGCATCGGGCGGGTCGGGTCGGGTCGGATCGGACCCGAAAATGAACAACCCGATCGGGTTTCGGGGTTAGAAAACAAAACCCGAAGTGTATAATTCGGGGTTCGGGGCTAATCGGGTATGGGCGGGTTCGGGTCGGGTTCGGGTTTAGAAACAGCAGCTAATGGGTTTAATGGGTTTAGAAACAGCAGCTAATAGGGTTTAATGGGTTCAGAAACAGCAGCTAATGGGTTTAATTGGTTTAGAAACAGCAGCTAATGGGTTTAATTGGTTTAGAAACAGCAACGAGAAGAAGTCTAGAACTAGAAACAACAACTACAAGTCTAAAACTAGATAGCAACTGGTATGGATGCAACATTACAATGTACAGCATAAAAAGAATATGCCACTAATTGGCCTACACCATTACACCATTGCATAAAAGATCATAGTACAAAACAAAAAGGAAAGAATATGCCACTAATTGGTTCAAATGTCCTTCCATTTAAACAAAGTCAAATAGATGGAAAAAGATTCTTTCTTTACAAGTCAATCCACTAAATTACACTTATACATCAACAGACAACATATAGTCTAAAAGAAACAGAAGGCCAATGAAAAGAGGTAGATTCAAAATTCAACCCAATCCAGTGTCATGCAAGTCAAAGAAAGTAACCATAATGTTGTGTTGTTTATAGTATCTATACCTCCCATCACAAACTCTCACTTTGGTCATCTTGTCTTCACATCAATGCATCTGTTCTTCACTTAGATCAGTAGTCCTGAAATATTGAGGAAACTTGAGAAAGTAACATAAAATAAAACAAGAGGTATATTATCTAGTATGACTTGTACAAAGAAATAAAATACCTTTCAAAATTCAAAGTGGCCACTTCTACAATATATCATCTAGCTGTAGATCATCTACATCAACAGCTGGAACCGGAAGAGAATCCTCTTGGTCATTGACAGAACTTGAACTTCCAATTCTCATATTCATCATGTCTGCGTTTATAGAAGTAAGTAGATTTAATATATAAATAAACATATTAAAGTTGAAAAGGTATACTAAAATACTAAATACGTAAATAMTGTCGTACCTTTCTCAAACTTTTCAATATCAGCTATGTTTTCTTCAACTGCAATTGGCTGACTAGGGCCTCTTAGCCAGTCTTGTGTACATATCAGGGCTTCTACCATTTTAGGAGATAGAGAACTCCTAAAATTATCCAAGACCCGACCACTAGTACTAAAAGTAGACTTAGATGCCACAGTTGAAATGGGAACAACAAGCACATCTCTAGCCATTTTTGAAAGAATAGGAAACCTTTCACTATTAACCTTCCACCATCTTAAAATATCAAAATCGTTTGCCTCATTTATGGTCGACTCTGCTAGATAAAGTTCAAGTTCACTCTTCTTGTTGAGTGAAGCCCCACTTTCCATCTTTTGTTTCTTAAGTTGGCTCTTTAATCTAGATTGTACCCTTCCAACGGGAACATTCTCACACTTAGTGGGTGGAGGAGGCATCATAGTGGTAGAAGGTTCGGAATATGTTGACACATACTCTTGAAACAACATATCCAATTTAGACTTTACCTTTTCAAAACATAACTTACCTTGATCCTCAGCATACATTTGATTGAGCTGGACTTGCATGTACTCAACCTTGTCTTTGGGGTCCAATATATTGCCAAAAAATATGATGAAATTCATCTTATCTGGATCACCCCAATATTTACTGAACTTCTCTTTCATTTTAATACCCATTTCCTGTTCATAAATCAAAACAAAAAGTTAGTAAACATCCAAATATAAGTAAATAGTAAAGGTAATACTAAAGGAAGATAAACATACCTCTTCAACTTTCGACGTAGATTGTAACATATCGGCAATAATGCAACTCAAATCTGAAATCTCGGTTAAGAAAGAATTTGAGGTGACATAAAGTGAGCCAGATATCCTAATTGTCATCTCATAAAATGTCTTTCAAAAATATGACCAAACTGTCAACTTGTAACCAATCAAGATAGGAAGGCAGCGAATCACCCAAATCCAAATGTAACGCGGTGTCACTACTCTCATACGTTTCAAAAACCTGTCTGTAACCTATTGCGGTTCGAAGCATTATATAGGTGGAGTTCCATCTAGTTGGAACGTCAAGACATAATGAACTTTTCTYTTCCACTTCAAGCAAATCTGCAAGTTCTCTAAACTTCTTCAACCTAGATGGAGAACCCCTCACCCACCTRATGCAATCCCTAATCTTTTTAACTGATGAATCTGCTAATTTCAATCCATCTTGAACAACCAAATTAAGAATATGAGCAATGCATCTCATATGTATGTACTCTGCCCTAATAGAAGAACCACCCCAATTCACCACCCCAATTCACCACCTTCTTCATCATGAATCCAACGACAATGTCATTGCTTGATGCATTATCAACTGTGATGGTGAAAATATTTTTTATTCCCCAATCAAGCAAACAACTCTCTAGCGCCTTAGCTATACTTTCCCCTTTATGTGAATATATAGGCACAAATGAGATGACATTTTTATTTAATTTCCACTCATCATCAATAAAATGTGCAGTGACACACATATAATTGATTCTTTGGACAGATGTCCACGTATCAGTGGTCAAACTAATCTGCTGCGTGCTTGACTTAAACAATTTCTTAAGGTTGGTTTTCTCTTCAAAGTAAATACTGAATATATCCCTATTAACTGTCCATCTTGAAGGATTCTTAAATCTAGGGCATGCAGCCTCAATAAACTGTTTAAAACCTCTCCCTTCAACAAACCTAAATGGAAGTTCATCCATTATAATCATTTTCGCTAACATCTTTCGAACAACCTCTTGGTTAAAAACCCAAGAGGTCAAAGCACCATCACTATTATCAGATTTTGCAGATTGAAATGCAAGAATTGACTGCTTTGTTTCCTTAGCATGTGTATTCTTTAAACAAGCTTTCATGTGGTTATTTAAAGAGGAAGTACCATGCTTTTTAGCTTCAGCTGCATATACTTTTGAACAATATAAGCACTTACCTTTAATGACTACCCCATCCTCATTTAAAATCTTCTCAAAATGGTCCCAAACTTGAGATCTGGATTCTAATGTTTTCCTTTTTCTAGTACTTTCCTGAATAGATTGACTTACGGTAGGATTAGATTGTGAAGGAGGAGCTTGATGATGACTGTTACTTCCGGACTGAGACGTGCTAATTTTTTCCATCTACAATTGTAAACAATCTAAAAATATATCAATATGCTAGAAGGCAAAGGTATGCCAATTTCTGTCACTGATATCTTCGGTAATTCATATATTGCTTGTCATTTTTCCTAGCCTATCGAACAAGCTTAAGCATAAACTTGTTCATGTTCGAATTCAAATCATAAGCTGGTGATTTTCATTGTTTAGTGTTATAGGAGCACATATCTCACAAGTGAACAGAATTATGTTCACAAGTGAACAGATTATGTTGACAAGTTCATGTTGAACAGATTGTTTAGATTATAGCTGGTGATTTTCATTGGCATGTTGCTCCTGACACAAGTTCATGTATATTGAATTATCTTATGTTCTTCTCTTGGTTAAGTTCATGTACATTAGTTATGTTATCCTTTTGGTTGATTTTAGATGGTCATGAACAAAAACTACATATTCACGGAAAACCCAGAACTAGTGATAATACTTGTTGTAAACAATCTAAAACAGACCCTGACTTGTAAACAAAAACTCCAACGCCATGAGTGAAATTGTAAACAATCTAAAACAGACCCTGACTTGTGAAGAAGTTCTGGGAAGTCTTGAAAATTTTGAAGATTTCCATAAGCAAGAGAGGGAGCGATAAAGAGAAATTATATATACACACACATATTAAAACTAGATATGATCGTGACACATATAAATGACATAGAAGCTGAAGGCATTGACACATATAAATCAATGAATTAAACCTGTGTAGTGTGTATTGTGTAGAACG